AATACCATAATATTTATGGTATTTGGGCCCTAAAACCCTATTATTTGGGTCCTTGGACCCCTAAACCCTAAACCCCTTAGGGTTTGGGTTTGGGGTTAAGGGTTTAAGGCTCGGAGAGGTTTGACTTCTATGGCTCCAGGATGTAGGGTGCTAAAGGTTGCATGTTTTTTGTCATGCATAGGGTTTAGGGTTTAGGGTTTTGCGCCATGCCTTGTCTGGGAAGACGGGTTTAGCGTTCTAAGGGCCGCTCTAGGACAATCACCGCTTGGAAGTCAACCCTGCCCTAAACTTTTGGATACTGCCCCCACTCAGTAACAGTTGGATAATAAGTATAATATGGTTATATATAGCCCTTAATAGGACCCCTAATATAGACTGTTACTGGGTGGGGGCAGTACCCAACCTAAACCCCATAAGCCCTAAACCCTTTATTCGGCAGGTTTGAGGCATGGATCACAACAACAGAGCTGCGCCTGCAGGCAGAAAACCTTTCCTTACCCTGACCCTCTTAAAGTCCCCCTTAAGTAGATAGAATATGGCTTTGGGTAAATTATAACAAGATCCGTTTACACCCCATATTCTATCTACTTAAGGGGGACTATAAGCCCATGCTTGCCAAAAGTAAGCTTCCGCACAGGGACTCTGCAATCGTAAATGCACCAGTGGAAGCAGAAGGCGAACTTCCAAGGTATAATCAGTATGGACGTGACAAACCTTTGGAAGGGTTGGGTACGTAGCCCCCAGGAATAGTCGGAGAATCATTCTGTAAAGACTTTACAAAGTCCCTAAGAGTGCCCTCATTGAAGACGGTGTCGGGGGGCAGTATGCAAAGAGTGGTATTTTGAGGGGCCTTCAATCAAGTTAGACTACGCAGCTCATTAATAATCCTGTATAACCCTTTACAACTCATTAGTCACCCTAGGATCCCACAATCTATTGTCTTTCTGAGGATGGGTGCAAATTATGTGTTCGTTGGGATCCTGATTTCCCTTGTCAAGATCCAAACCCCAAATCCTATATACCTGCAGATCTTGACCCCTAAGCCGTGTATGTATGTGTATATGTGCACGTGTTTGCGATCTGGTAGTTTTCCAGAATAAGGGGAACCCAATATAGACCCCAAATGACTGCAATCATTGTTATGGGGACCCCCTAAAGGGGGACCCCTAATTTTGGGAAACTCCCTTGTTTTCATTTTCTTGTCGGCATCCAGGTGATCCTGGCGGCTGAGATTTTGGGAGTGGACCTGATTGAAGTGCCTCGTCGGCAACAAAGTTTGACCACGGTTTAGGGTATGGGGTTTACACCCCTCTCCAATGTACTAGCATACTGTTGAAATGTAGGTGCTAGTAGCCTCTTGAAATAGCGTCTCTGTTGATGAAGCAGGGCTACGTGGGGACTCCAGCCCCTCCAGGAGTTTAGCAACTTAAAGCCATGGGGATCCGGAAACGAAAGTAAATTTCGAACGCAGTCACTTCTTGACGTCGGCCCCCCCAGAGTGCGCTACAAGCCCTCTGTGATAACCCCCTGTAAATCAGGCCTCCGTGCGCTGCCAGAAATTCAGGATATTCAGACCGCCGATGTACATGAATCCAATGTACAGGACAATTATCACCAGTTTGGAGCCAGGAGCTTGGTAACGATTCTAATTTTTTGGTACTGCGCCCCACTCTGTAAAAGTTAGGCAATATTAACAATATAAGTATATATATATATAGCTTTCAATATGGCCCCTATACAAAGTGTTGCAGAGTTGGTTCAGTGCCGTATCTAAACTGTCGTGCGGGCTCTTGCATGTCGGGGACCTATGGTCCCCTCTCCTGGTAGTAACCCTGTCCAGCGCAGTCTCTGAGAGCACAGCTTCCCAACATCCCTAAACCCTACACCCTAAACCGCGGTATCATCCTACATTTTGGGGGGGGGGAGTTTAAGGGGTAGTGGGACTTGGGGAGCTTCGGTGCCATCCTACACTCTGCAAAGCCTAAAAAAAGAATTCATGGGACTACCATAGCCCCCCCAATTCTGGCACTCCTGCAAGCTCACAGGAACAACAAAGCGTTACTAATCCCCTAAGACTGGCCTGATTCTGTGAGTTCCGAGTAATCCGAGCACTTGTTTTGTTAAAGGGTCCACATTTGAAGAATTTTCTTGGGGAAAAAGTAGCGTCCAAAAACTAGCTACAATTAGGTGGCTTTTCGTATGGGGATAAGGGACTACATTTAAAGAAATTTTCTGGGGAACCAATCCTGAAAATAGAGATATTCAATACATTCCTATTCAATTGATAATTAATAGAGGTCCAAGAGCCCCGATGGCGCGGGAATGCATTCCTATCCTTTTTTAATTGAGTTCCAGGAGACCCAGTCATTCTTTTAATCTGGCGCCCTCAATTTCTTATTCTAGCGGGGGCGCCCCCCCAAATTAAACAAGTGCTTGGATTACTGGGCAACCTTAAACCCCTAAACCCTAAACCTACGCGTAAACCTATAGTAGCCCCATGATACACCAGACAAGGAGCCGTTCCTGGTGCCGACCCTTAAAGCCGCCTTGCCCACTTTGGGGAGCGCCTTCCAGCGCGATGTGCTCACCGAGGTTTGGCCGTGACTTACCTAAATCCTCAATCCTAAACCCTAACTCCTAAACCCCCAGCACGGGTTTGGGACGTAGGCTTGGCTGATGCTGGTGCTTAAAGGGGTGGATCATCATAATTGTTCTTGAATACAGTCCCCGTAGATGCCCTCTAGGTAGTACCCTTAAGCAGCGTTAAATTTCGTTCCCCCGTACAGGGCTAAGAGCCTCTTCTTGGGAGGGTATACAACCAGAATGTCTTGAATCCTTTAGTTTCGTTTCCGAGGCCAACATGGTCAGTGCAGAGCCCCGAACTACATGTTCCGAAGTTTCACTGTAATGCTGGGTTTAGGGGTTTAGGTTAGGAATCGGGGTTTACATGACAATGACTATTAGGATTACCATGACTTTTACCATGACCATGACTGTTGGTGTGACTACAACTCATATTGTGACGTTAGCGTGGCTACAACTAATATTGTGTGTATTGCTACGATGGCATCTTTGTCTTGCACTTTGGAACCAAACTCAAAGCAAAGGAATCCCAAAAAGCGCCCCTCCACCTTCCAGTCTACGCGGCAACAAGAATGAGAAGAATTGACGGATGTTAGCAGTTTCTGCGCTTGCTAGGTATTGCAACACCTAGCAAAAAAGGTAGGGTCCTCAGCAGGCTATAGCCCATTGCGCCCTTGTGGCATTATTGCTAAGTAGCAGCCTCCCCAATAGTCGCCATACTCTCACCACATATCCCCACATGCCCCCCTGCAGAATCTCAACTGGATTTCCAAAATATGGTCGCCGTTACAAACCCTAAACTGCGACTATCACCATTTCCAGCGTTCCATACCATCTCTATCCAGCTTTTGCTCCAGGACTGCATTGAAGGGACCGTGGAGGCTGGGAATTAAACCCTAAACCCTGGCTGCAGCCCAAGAAGGGGCAGTCTCGGGCAAGATTCAGGAAGCGCAGCCCAAGCGAGCAAACCCTTCCCTCACAAGACTCGGAGACAGGGGAGGGGGGTGCTTTGAGTATTGAGGGATCCTGGTAATGTACTATATCCCTTGAACAAGCGACTTGCGCCAATACTGTAGCATTTTACAAGAAAGTTCGCTAACCCATTAGTAACCCAGGGTGGGCAGAAAGTGGAGCAGTTGTATTACAGGCGCGTCTCCAATAATGGGCGCTCATCAGAACCCTTAACATTGATCATCACCATGCGAGTTTTTAGGAGGTAGCCCAAGAACTGCAGTAAACCCTAAACCCTAAATGGTAGCTTCCATTTTCTTTTCCTTTACCCCTATGTATCTATATAACCCGTATATTACTTATTATATTACCCCTTATAACAGTAAGTCTTTTAAGATTGTGTAGGCTCTGGTCTTTTTGAAGGAGTTTTCAAACTGAGGAGTGGCCTGGGGTTGTTCTAGCCAAAGTTGTTTGGGGTTTTCCGGTACTGGTGGCCCCAAAACAGACACAAACAAGATGGAGGACAGCCCTAAACCCTAGTGTTAGCAATGCCATTTCCTGCGGAAATCCCCCTAAACCCTAAACCCCTAAACCCTAAACCCCCAAATCAGATCTTCAAGGCCTTGGAAGCTGCGCGTGCAGCTGAGAAGTGCGAGGAGGCAGGGTGACCCCCTTCTCTTCTTATTGTTGTTACTTTTACTAAGACCATTGTTAGTATTATTGTTGTTATTATTGCTAGTATGATTGTTAGTATTTTATTTGTTATTATTGCCAGTATTCTTGTAGTTATTTCTAGTATCATTCTTAGTATTCTTGTTATTATTGCTAGTATCATTGTAGTGATTTTCGTCCGTATCAATGTTAGTATTTTTCACCTCGTATCCTCTTTTTGGGGAACCTTGTAAGGTTTCAGGGTATGCTGAGTAGTTCTTAGAATCATGCTTAGACCGGCCAAGAAGCGAATGATTTCTGATAAAGGACGGGCCCGCGTGCTCAACTCCCTAAACCCTAAACCCTTAAACCCTAAACCTGTCCACAAGCTCGAGTCTTCAAGCAATTCTATGCGATACAGTTCCTGGTTTGGTAGCCCTAGTTCTCCAGTTACAGTACCTAAATAATGGATTCTGGGTTCTATATACCCTATAGTTACATAGCCCAGCAACCTACTATTTAGGTAGCTGGGAGCCCTAGGGAGAAGCAAGAGAGTTTGTTGTAATGACTTGGGTAGGGGATCACGTGGCTTGTAAATTGGAAGCATCTGCGACTGCGATTCTCATCCACTCTGGTCACAAAATTCCAGCAGGATTGCGATCCCTGTTGTCACCGTGTCCATCAGAATGCTGAGAACAAGGCTGATTCAGTCAGATAAAATATGATCACCCATGACCCTTTAGCCCTAGACCTACCGCCTTAAACCCTTGACCCCCTTAAACCCTAGACCTACCCCCTTAAACCCTAGACCTCCCCCCTTAAACCCTAAACCCTACGAGGGCCCGACACCCCTAAACCCTAAACTAATGCGGTGGTCTCCAGTGAGTCCTACTCTCCCTTCTGCATCCCTGGCTGAGATGGATAATGAGGACTATTTGGCAACCCTTCACACTGAGTTTAGGGGTTTGGGTTTAGGGTTTAAGGTCTAGAGTTTAGGTTTTAGGGGTTTGGGTTTCGGGTTTAAGTTTTAGGGTTTGGGATTTAGGGTGTAAGGTTTAGGGATCAAGGTTTGGGAGTTTCCAAAGGTTAAAAGTTACGGTCCTTTTTTGGAAGGCAGGGAGGAACGCATGATTTTTGGAAACTACGAAACATACAGATCCACAAGACAGACATCGGGTGCTGTTGGGCCTACTTACCGGATAGCACTTAATTAGTAGGCGTAGACCCTGGACGATTAGCACTGCATCCGTGAAGCCAGAGATTAATTAGCTCGACGAAGGAGCGATTCCCTATGGTGGTCCTGCTGTCATCGCTTATTGTAAAGCATACAGTTGCATCGTTTCCTACGACTTCAATGTTCACGCATAGGTTGAAGGGTAGTCGCGCGTGGGGTCATGAGTCTCATACATAGGTTATCTATGAATCTTGAAGCGGGAACAATCCCGCTAGATCCTAACGCCTACATATCAACCAGCACTTCCAGGGGCAACCTTTCTGAGAGACATGGCTGTGGTGAGCATTGGGAAGGCTGTTTCCACAACGTTGGCGGCTGCGCACAAGTGTGAGGAGCTGTTATGGGTCCTCGACCCGCGAGTTCAGCGTGTAGGTGTCCGTTTGAAGAGGTTGCATGGGATTAGGCGTTTCCACTTTTGGGGTTATGGGGATAATGTTGGGTTTGAGTTTAAGGCTTACGCTTGTAGTAGGGACCCAAAGACTTGGATTCGTGTAGAATCCAAGTGGAAAGATGAAATGGACGCTGGGTTTACATGGGGTCATGGGGAATGTCGTGTAGTAGCCTGAACATGCAAAATAGGGCTTTGGGGTAGATGATGTGGGATCCTTGTGTTTGGGAAGACTTCTGTAAACATACCAAGGATTGTGGCATTAGTAAGATTATTATGGCGCCTTCTAAGAGCTCCCTGTATGAAGGACATTTGTGATGCTTTGTTCCGGGTGGGTGTAGATGTGTTGTTTGACCGGGGCTAGAGAGCAGATTGGTTTAGGGTTCAAGATTTGGGGTTTAGGGTTTTGGGTTTGGAGTTTAGAGATGGGGAGTTAGAAGGCGTTGGAGTCAGGGTTTAAAAGTTGAGGGTTCAGGGTTTGGTTCAGAAAAGACCTCGCCCCTGGTGACCACCTGCTGTACCTAAACCACAGGTGCATAATGCGTAGAGGGAGTGAATGCCTGTTGGGAACCGAGAAGCATGACATGGTAGTTTCCCAAAATAAGGTGACCCCAATAAAGACCCCGAAGTACTTTCTATACCTTTTGTAGAGGGATCCCCCCAAAAAAGTACCCTTAATTTTTGCAAGCCAATTCACACGAAGAGCGGCTTTTCAAGAAGGGTTCTGGGCCTACGTGGAAGGTAGTGTCTCAACGGAAAGACGCGGTTTAGGGTTTGATTTTTAGCGACTGTTTCACTGTGCTGGAGAAAAACGTAGAAACCGCTTCACTAGCTACTGTGAGCCATGGTTCGGGAAGTATCTGGTCACAGCTTGTTGCTATGTAGGGTTGGACTGCCTTGTAGCCTAAAGCCCTCAAAATGCGACAGTTTGTGAGAACCCACTTGAATCAGTCGCTTTTGGCTCTGAATGTTGTCTCTATAGGCTTGAAATTCATGCGAATGCGGGTTGAGAGTATAGTATAGGATCTCGGTTTAGAGTTTCAGTGCGTCTGCGCGGCAGAAATCAACAACCAGACGTTGTAGAGCGTCTGCGTTCCGTTCAGAAGTATTTCCCTAAACCCTATACCCTAAACCGTATGCAAACCTCAGGTGTAAGCATGACGAGGATAATTGTCGAGATGTTGCTGGAAGGTGGATGCTATTTGTCTTACTCGGAAGTGCCCCGTGGTGTACAGACATGTACAGATGATCATATATACTCACATCTCTTTCTAAATATATATATATATGCAAATGTCTTTACAGATTCACGCGTGTATGCACGTGCTTTCAAATTCACGTTTTAGGTATGTACATTTCTATAAGTACTTACATGTCCATATTCTTGTCTCAACCTAAGAATCCTGCTTGCCAGGAGTGCGAGGATGTCGCAGCGTGGCACTGTCCCGCCTGTGAGGGCAGCATGGCTGTAACCCGAAATTCTGCTGACAGCTCGGGGGTTCCAAGAGTTGGATTGCTGCTAAGGAACTTGCAGTTAAGTTACCATATTGGCTCTATATATATATATATATTTGGTAAATAATAGGGTTTCCCAAATATAGTCACTGAAAATAAGTTCCTTAACAGCAGCCCAAAGAATTGGGGCCTCGTTCCGAGGTCCACATAGCAAGATACGTACTTGTTTTGTGGTGGTATACTGACAGCATGAAGCTCAAGGTTTCCCCGGGGAGCTGTGCTTTATCTTATAACCCCTACACGGTTCAGGGTTAAACCGAGGGTCGCCAATAGTGGCAAATCACACTGACAGTACAATGGAACATAGACACTGGGTTGACACTGGGCGTCTACCTACTTGGGCCTCTCAGGTTCGGGGTAATGGGCTCAGGCTCTGACGCGCAACGCGGTTTTGCTACGGGCACGGACCGTTTCATGGCATGATGTAGGGACGCATTTTTCCAAGTTGGACTTAGGCCACAAAGAAAGTGACCTGAGCTACAGAAGCCTTGGACACTTCAAGCTTATATCCTTTACAGCCCACAAATCTACCTCCTAAGCCCTACGCTCAGCCTGTCAACTTTCAACACTCCAAACGTTCAACATTTAATTCTCTTCAGGTAGCCATCGGCCGAAGACGTGTTGAGAAGATTTCTGGGACCCCTATCGAGGGTGGCAGTGGACATTAACCCTGAACCGCTAAACCTGAAACCCCTAAACCCCTAAACCTCTAAACCCTACACCGCTAAACGCTATTCGGGTTATAACAGCTGATTTCATTGATGCAATACCTGAATTTTTCAAATGTCTGACTAATCTACCGCTTGACTCCCAATGGCATGTGCCAAGAGCTTCCTTGAAAAGGCGCAACACATCATCCTAGACTTCAGAAGGTCCCCGTTCCAATTACCTAAACCCTAAACCATGCGTTGCAGAGCTGCCTCTTGACAGTTGGCAAGACATGTCACCACAGGACATCAAACTAACACCTGGTTGGGTTTAGGGTTTAGGGTGTAGGGTTGGCCCTAAAAAGCGTTTTGCTGCAGCAAGGAAACGAAATCCTAGATTCCAATCCGCAATGAATACTTTCTCGGCACAGCTAAAAAGCCTCATATCGTGACCCGTGCTTGGCTAAACAATAATAAGTGCTTTTCTTGCCCAAAACTTCTTCACTGTTCGGTGGAACCACATAATCCTTCGCGCGACCGTTCCAACACGTATGACGTTCCTGCATCACTCTTTTTTTGAACGGGAGCCAAAATTCAAAACTATGCTTGATTCTCTTGAACGACGCATCACTTCCAAATTCTGAGCAAACTGCCTCTTTGCTGCTTGACTAGTTGTATTTGGTTGTATGCATTCCCGTCTCACCTTCGACGCACCAGACTCAAGTCCGCTTTGCCCCACACCCCTAAACCCGTTAACCCCAAGACCTTAAACAGCTCGAAGGCTCCTTTTGTGGATCCTGCTTTGATCGACTCCATGCACGAGGGCGTCGCGCGGAGCACCCGCCTCTCGACTTAAAAGAGATCAGTGTAGGGGTCAAAACCTTAAACCCTAAACCCTAAATTAACAATAGTGCGGCCGTATGTTCCTTGTATGATTATGGAATCGAGTACCTCAAGCTGACCTCAAAGTGATATCACCAATTATTTCATTAGGCGCCTGAATTAGACATTTAGGGGTTTGGGCGTCTGACCTTACTACAGAGCAGCTTGGAACCGCCCCAATTCTTACTGGTTTCTATTACTGGGCATGATGGAATCTGCAATATTAAAACGGCTTGCATTATCTTGTCCATTCCTTCACTCCTTGCTGATGACCATCAAATTTTGAGATCCGATGCTGTTGTTCCGTTTTCTTGCCGCTAATATAGTATAATGCATTAAAGTAGTTTCCATTTTCTTTTCCATTATCCCTATATAGCCCCTATATTGCCTCAGCATTACCCCAATATAACCCTAAACTAATCCTGACTATCAGGCGGCTGGACCTCTCGTACGCAGGCGACGGTTCCCATGGTGAAGGAAGGATGGATATGGGGGTTTGAAAACATCAGGCGCCTCTTTCGGGAAGTTCCTATGAGAATGGTAAGGATTCGGCAGGTATTCGAAGGTCCCAAACCCTAAACCGCGTGGGAAATGTGCATGTTTCTGTCGATCGCTGCTGGTCGTCATTGTCATCCTCGTGGTGGGTGCTTGCATGATTCAAAAGCTAAATGGGTGTTTCTCAACACTAGCTAGATATAATCCCTAATAGGCACCCCGTACCCTCCTTTACAATCCCTATACAGGGCTAGGGTCTCTCGGCCCCCCTCGAGAAATTGCCATATCTTATTTGAAGGTCCTGCTTGCAGTTCCTTACCCAAACTCAACACCTAAACCCCAAACCCTAAACCCTAATTCAAGCTCCTTGCCTCCCCAGAAGGTTTGTTGATAGGTACTTTGGCATGCTGCTAAGGAATGTGCCTAACTTAAGCTACCATTCGTGGATAGCCCCTTTTTTTTCGACATCGATATTGGCTTAGTGAATTATTTGCTCATGTCATGTTGCCCCTAGACCCAAAGGCCTAAGCCTAACAGCCTAGAATCCTCAATGCTAACAGCCATAAACCCTCAGGGTTTAGGGTTCAGGGCTTTGTATTTAGGATGTCTAAGTACTGGCCAGGCTTCAAGATGAAAGACTCCCACGCAGGAGCACGGAAGCAGGCGGTCTTTCTATGAGATATGGTTTAGGGTCTCAAAATTTCCCGGATGTAGCCCCAAATAAGGACCCCCCCATGATCCCCTCATAACCTCTACATATTCCGACAGTTCCTGGGTGGCCCCCCCCTCCCCCCCAGGGGCCAACCCACATATAGTCCCTAAGCCCTAAACCCTTAACAGAAGGAGCACAGAAAAGCAAAGTTATGGCTAGCCACTGATGCTTGCCCATATGGGGTTTGCCAAGATTAGGGCTACCTTTTTGGGGGTCCCACTAATAAGGATTAGAGTATTTTGGGGTCTATATTGGAGTCCTCCTATTTAGGGAAACTGCCATATCTAGCCACTTCAATCGCTGTTGAGTAGACTAGTTGCCGCTGAATGGGTTCTCAATGTAACTGCTGTCTTTTGGTAGAAGCTGCTAGAACGCACAAGGAGAGACCAAAAGAGGGACGCAGGGAACTGCCGAGAAGTAGCCTCAATCGACCTTACCTATCAAGTGTTCAGCTTAGGATATGCAGCCCAGCCCGACAATCATCTCAATCCTGAAGGTCATCAATGTACGCTGGCATGCGTTCTATGACGCCCAGGGAATCCCGACTATGTTTGTGATTCTTGCTTTTTGGGGGAGTTTCTTGTCTTTTTCTCATGTTTTTTAGAGTGGAGCTTGCTCATATTGCGGTTTGAAACGGAGCTCTTGTGCGGAGCGTCCTCAATCTTTTGTTGGAGTCAAGCTTTCGCATCACATTATAGCTCTCACGTGGAGAGCTTTCTGGCCCGGCTTCTTGGCTTCGGTTGCTTTTGGGCTTGTTAGGTTCTTATGGCTTCTAGAGCTTCATAGCTCCACCTAGACCTCCCAAATACCCAGCATGTTAGCCTCAATACCTTGTTCTGGGGGGCCAAAGACTATCATGATGGCTTTTGGGGGGAGGTCCCGACCTTTTAGGATGAATTTGCCCGTCCGCCTAGTTGTGAGTATGTCTGATGAGGGCCTAGACAGCTGCAAGTGATCTGAGCTATAGTCTAACGTCCTCAAAGGGCGTTATTCATATAGGGGAAATCATAAGGTTCATTAATGGGGATACTAGGAGTTTAGACTATATCTCATCTTATCTTGGAGTCTTGCTGCGCGCTTTCGAACTGGCGAAACTCAGTACTGTCAGACTCTTTCGTGTCTCGTGCTAGTTGTAAGTGCTCTACACCACAGTTGCCCCTGAGTGTTATGCAGGCCTCAAGTACTACTACAACTTCGAGAATCAGCAGTCCGTTCGGAAGTTGTCGTCCAAGGAGTTACCAGCCGGCAATGAAGAGCACACTTGAACGAGGTATTTTTTACATCTTGGGGATGCTTGTGGGCTAGGGAGCCCACTTTCCTCACCGACTTATTGCACTAGGATACTATGCGCTTACTAAGGGGTCGCTTTAATATTATCTAACTCCAGGCCCCCTCCAAGAAGGGCTTGGGAATCGTAGCCCAGAGACATTATAGACCTGCAAGTTTAGGACGGAGATTTAGTAGATTGGAGCAAGGGCTTTGGGATGTGAAGGACGTAGGAATTGTCGGGGGTGCTGCCGGCGAGGTGTTCAGAAAAGTATTCTTATGGGGGACTCTTTCCGAAACAGGTTTAGGGCTGCCTGCTTCGACACCGAGCCAATTGATGCCTAAATTCACGGGAGCTATAGTCTATAAACTCCTAAAAGGGAGTTATGTAAAGGATGTCACAGGGGACAACTATAGGGCTTACTGAGGGGGATACTAGGAGTTTAGACTATGACTCAAGTGCTTCTGAGCTCCGTTCATTGTTTACAATCGGGCGGACTGACCTGCGATATGAGTAACCCAGACCCCTTATAAAATTAAGAACACACACTTCCCTAAATAGGGGTCATAGTAGGGATCCTCATTGGGTTACATGGGGATCAAAGAATAAGTCTGACACCCATGAACCTGAAGCCCTAAACCTCACGCAGATTTCAACTATGAGGCTTTCGTGGCAGCCGCCACCTCCAATGCCTGTTGCTGAGCCGAAGACAGCCAGCGCTGACAAAAGAAGCTGCGCTGCTTTGGGTAAACCTTAGGTTCAAAACCCTAAACCTTAAGACCCCAACCCCAACCCTAAACCCTAAAGCCTATATACCCCGATAACCTTAAAACCCCAACCCCAACCCTAAACCCTAAAGCCTAAAGCCTATAACCCCTATAGACCTATATCACCCCTTTATCCCGTTGGAAGTTGTTGCAACCGGAGGGCTCCATGTAGGGTTTAGGGTTTAAGGGTTTAGGGTTTGGTCCCAAAAGTTTGAGTTGCAGAGCCCCGTTTCGCCTTACATATATACGATATACTTGCATGGTCTCTTTGGGTAAAGGCCTCTTAAAGGAAGAACCATCCTTATTGGCAAAAAGCGAACCTGCCGTATTTCCGTTTTGGGGACATTTTTTCAGTAACCACTTTGTGAGCTGGGCTTCGTATCCAAATTGTTCTGGTGGGTACACACGAGACACTGCCAAGTTCATATATGTGGTGTCCTTATGGGGGACCACCGCTATACTTGGGGCCTAGATGCGCGCCTCGCACAAGATGGGTCTTACTTGTGCACCCAAAAACTTAGGGTACTCGACCGTTATCTTGTGCACCACTAAACACCCACAGTTGCCTTTAAAGATGCGCACATGAAAAAGGGACCCTCGTTCAAATGACGTTGAATCTTCAAAATGTTTTGGGGAATTAAGGCCACCCTGAAGATTCGCCTGCGTTGTGCAAGAGCGACTTAGGAAAACTGAGCTTCCTAAACGAAGCGGCGCGTTGGGCAGCTCTTGACCGTGTAAGAAGATCGGACAGTAGAGTATCCTAGTGACCTTCAGCAAGATTGAAGGATGTGAAGGCACTTTTTTTGTCGAGAACTCTTTAGAAATCGGTTTCCTCCCAATCCTTGGACACATGTTGCTCTTGTGCTTCCATCCATAATAATGTGAATATGTTGTCGCATTACACCACTATGAGTGGGTGGGGTTCCAACCCAACCAACCAACCACAATCCTTCAATTGCAGCTCTCCGCAACACTATGGAACTTCACCTCTGGGAACTCAGCCCTGAGCTTTTTGAATCCAGAACTACATGGGACACTGGGTGTACTGAGTACTGATGGCTTAGGCCACCTCCTCTTCAATGAAGGGTTAGAGAACAAGGGTATCAAGGCAACGTACTACTAGGGGTCCTCGACCTTTGCAACCGTTGCGGCAGGTGGTGAACTTCGAGACAGTATCCGATGGGACAAAAAGTAACGAGGCCAGTGTCAACTTGAAGCTGGGTAGGGAAAATGTAACCCCAATATATCCCGAATATCACACCACATCCTAAACCCTAAACCCAAAACCCCATATTCCGCAACAGTGTAACCTTATGGTCTCTCAGACCTGCTTCTACGCAAGCATTGTGGGTTTGTTTTTTCGGAATTTACACACGTAGACTTGAAGCACAGGTTGTGAAGTAGGAGCAAAAAGGGTGTAGAACAGGATGATTATTGTGACTTCCCTTCTTTTGCCAGGGAGCCCCTTTAGAGCCAGAAACTCTGGAGCCTACACTTCAAGCTTTTCACGGGGTAGGCCTCTGGGTTCCGTAAATATTTTCTCTTATGGGTTTTATAGGGACACATCCATACTAATACTTTTCAAGGGTCTCTAAAGGCCAACCAAGTACAGGTGCCATTCAGCACCAGCAAGTGTAAGTTTCAAGCCAGTATTCTCAAGCTCAAATGCTGGAACCCTCAGCCGGACGTTTTTCAATGCTATCCGAAGCCATCCATTGCAGTTGCTGAATCCTATCCGTCCAAAACAGGACGCAAAAGCTGTCAAGTACTCATCCTTTAAAAATGTGAAAGCTCAAGTAGGTGTCCCGTGTTCACTGTACAATGAAGTTGGTACGCATGTTGTGCATGCGCCGCCTGAATCCCTCGGTCCTAATTAAGTGGCAAGCTCAGCCCTAAACCTTAAACTGCGATTGAAAAATTAGGGTTTCGGAGCTCTTTGAACCTGGCAGTCTCTGAAGTTCCGGCAGACCGCGGCCAGTATCGAGTTGGTGTTGGGGGGCTCGGTGTCTTGTTGCTGCCACGATGCGCCCCATCAGCTTTATAGTCCTGCTGCATCTGCTAGTCTGTAGTCCCAATCGGGAGTTTCCCATAATCAGGGGTACCTTTTTAGGGGCCCCCATAATCAGGATTATTGTGATGGGGTCTATATTGGGGTCTCCATTTTAGGGAAACTAACAATTCTTTGCAATTCTTTTTGTTGCTTGCTACTCCATCTCCTCGCCCAGTCGCGTGACTAATTCTATGATGACAGCACTTGGTTATCTATCTTACTAACCTAGACCCTAAACCCTAGACAGCTTTCCCGGTTTCGAGTTTAAGCTGGGGAGATACTCAAATTCACCAAGGACTGATCTGGAGGTTTCCATAGGTACGCTTCCCAAATTTAGGCCCGAGTATGCTCACCACATTCATCATTGAACGTACCACTACAAAGGGGCCACCACTCTCTGGTAATTCCCATCTCTCATCTAAAGCTTCAAGAGTTCGGGACTAGGGTGTGCTGTGGCCCTGAGATCCTGTTGCTGAGTGTCATCGCTCAGCATGCAGGATTTAGGGCAGCTTTGTCAGAGTGTAGCCTGCAAAGCCCTAAGCTTTGAACTCCCTTACAAAAGGCCTAGGCCCCCTCAAAGCAGATCCTAAAAGCTACAAGCCCTTAACCATGATTCTGTAGCCGTCAACCCCGATCTCGGGAGCCTAGGCCGCCAAGCGTGGTGGTTACCGATGTTGACAGCGAAGGTCCTTCCACGATACGTGGCTGCGGGATTCGGGCATGTGGCAATAGGCTACAATGGATGATACAAATCCTGCATGATCCTCAGTTCCTTATACTTTGGAAATTGTGGTGCCATGGTATGGTATGTCGATGCACGACTTTTAGTCTACAGTAGGGGTCCCTTAGTGATTCGGCTCTAGGGATTATGAGAGCACCAGGATTGGGAATGTCCAGAAAGGATTCCAAAGGAGTAAGGGCAAAGATTGCAAAGGGGTAGTTTCAAAATGCGCTCCCTCAGGAGTTTTGCGGATATGGTAGTGTCCCATAAGAAGAAGGAAGACAAAGACTAGTTGGGTTTAGGGGGTCGGCCTCCGTAGAGGTTCAGGGCTTATATTAGCCCACAGAAGTGTTGAATAGACTTTCGATGTACCACATCCGGAAAGTCTTGAAGAAAGTCCGTACGCTGCCCTAGACATCTTCGGGGTTGGATTTTACATATACATATGCATTCATACATCGCTATTCATTTGTATAAATGCACACATACACACACATATGTATATATATATATATGCATATACGTGTTCATATGTGGCTTTCCTAAATCGACACGGACCAGATGTGTGTATGTATATGTGTATATATGCAGACTCACACACATTGGCCAAGAATCGCGAGAAGCCTGTCACACCCGCTAAAACTTTTATGGCCAACATGTCACACATGTTGCCAGGATGCCAGGGCATACTACCTCAGAACCCCCTTTAGGGTTTAAGGTTATAGAGTGCCCTTGAAGGTAGAGTTTGCAGGAGTTCCAGATGCAAAGGGGTGCCCTTGAACCTCCCTGTGGTCATCACGCACTGGCAGATAATCCGCTCACTCCAGCTCTTGATCCGGTTTAGGATTTAGGGTTTAGGGTTCCGAAGACTAAATGGTTGAGCTTGTGTGGTGGCTTTAACAAAGGGTTGTATCAATGCGCTGAGAAAGCAGCTTTCGGCCTAACCTCACATAACCTGAGGACGTCCAGTTCACGCTGCACCCCAAAAAAAACATGGAACTCCAGCAGGAGGTTTACCTAGGCCACTACTGTCTGTTCACAAGAGGCCTTGAACATTTTGGTTTTCTATGCCAATTACTTCGTTTGCGTGGGTGTATGCATCCCAGCTTTCTTCCCCAAAACATCAGGTGCGAAACGACGAGTGATGCCAACAAAGGACCATAAGGTTGAATGAGCTCATCTGCGCTTTTTGAGGGTCGCGGAGGTTCGTGCGGAGGATGGGGACCTTGGCATATTCTTGTCGTACTTCAGATACTGTTTCCGGTTACAGTCGGACATGGTTTCCCAGCCAGGCCGGAGAAAATCATCAACCAGCAAACAAGCACACAAAGCACAAAGTACAAACCTTGACTGAAAACCCTCAACCCTAAACCCCAAAGCCTAAACCCCCGGATTGGAACCTGGCGCTGCTGCGTCGGCCATGCAAGTG